CTCCTTGGTTTATTGTACTAAGGTGTCTGCTTTAATTAACTATATTGGCATTACCTATACAGCTACTGAATGGAGGTTGTTCATTGTTTTGTTTTTTCAAAACAAGTCTCAAAGGAGTTTTACTTCATAATGGAAATGTATTTTCATCAATTCCTGTGGCTCACTCTGTGCATCTTAAGGAAACTTATGAAAATTTTTAGATACGCCTAGAAAAAGTTCATTAAAAAGATTATGGTTGGTCTGTTTGTGGAGATTTCAAAGTCAATGCTTTGTTGCTTGGTCAACAGAGTGGATACACGAAAATGCCATGTTTTTTTGTGCGAGTCGGACAGCAGAGCAAGACGTGAACATTGGGACAAAAAACACTGGCCACCTAGACAGGCTCTTGTGCCAGGTTCAAAAAATATTCTACATGAACCATTGATTGGTCTTAAAACAGTGCTGTTGCCTCCTCTGCATATTAAATTAGGGTTAATGAAACAATTTGTAAAAGCTCTAGATAATGAAAGTGATTGTTTCCGGTACATCTGCAGGGAATTTCCATCAGTCATATATGAAAAAATCAAAGCAGGCATTTTAGTGGGCCCTCAAATCCGAAAGTTAATGTTGGATCACCAATTTGAAGAATCGATGAACCAGTGTGAGAAAGAAGCATGGAATAGTTTCAAGAATGTTGTGTATAGTTTTTTTGGCAATAGAAAAGATCTAAACTATCAAATATGAGTGTAAAAGTGCAGTTCTTACATTCCCATCTTGAGTATTTTCTTGAAAATTTAGGTAGTTTAAGTGAAGAACAAGGTGAAAGATTTCACCAGGACATTAAGGAAATGGGAAAGATGTATCAAGGAAGGTGGAATGTGAACATGATGGCGGACTACTACTGCATGCTGACGAGAGATTGTGCCAGTGAAAAGATTGCCAGAAAATCGAAAAAAAGACAGTTTCGCCCATCCTAGAAGACAAATATTAAGTTCATACATATTCATATAATGTATATATATATATAATCAACGACCTCACCAGCAAGGAATCGAACTCTCGACCTACTGGGTGTGACTAGGGAACGCTTACCGGTTAGGCCACAAGGACACTAAAAGCAGTTCTAGACTCTGTTATATTTCACACAAAGCCTGTTCATCGAGCTGATGGCGCCATGAACCTCGATTCCTTGCTGGTGAGGTCGTTGATTATATGTTCAAAGTCCGCGTGTTATATGGACTAAAAATGAAGTATATATATATATATATATATATATATATATATATATATATATATATATATATATATATATATATATATATATATATATATATATATATATATATATATATATATATGTAACCGGTCGGAATTTACTGGACTTTATTTTCCTCACTTGACTTGGGGTTTATTAAAGATTATTAGATGGTAATGGCAGTGGAAGCGCCCCTTTGAGAAAAATCCCGAACCAGCACAAGAACACTTAAATCTACTAAACAAAATGACTTATCCGTGACCCGTGGAAGGATAGCGTCTGTGACTGGGATGAATGAGACACACTGTCATATTTACACTTATATTCCCTCCAACACTACAAACACAATCAAATAATGGTACACCAATATGCGCACCTCTTAACTTGAACTTAAAACACTACTCTGGGGAATAAAAGTTATACATGATATTGAAATTATTAGAAACTCAGGCAACAATAAATTTAAAGTATTAAGAAATGTTGCTTGCACACATGAAACAGGCCTTAAGGGTTTTCACAGAATAATATCCACCACTGCGGAAGTGGTATAAAAATAAGAAATTATTAATTCCACCATGAATAGGCCTAAAGGGCACTCAATATAATTATGTTACACCAACAGATGCAGGCCTTAAGGGTTTTCAACAAAATAATATCAGTCACTGAGGAAATAGTATTAAAAAATAAGAAATTAAATACTCTACAATGAATAGGCCTTAAGGGCACTCAATATAATTATGTTACACCAACAGATGCACACCTCCTAACCTAACTTAAACACTACTCTGGGGAACAAAGGTTATATCTGAGATTGAAACTATAAAGAAATTTTAAATGCACACAGCATACATTAGTAACTGAAAAAATAATATTAACTACACACAAAAATATTGTCACTATTATAAAGACGTTACTGAGTCCAATACCCGTGAACCATGCTCCCTAACCTAACACACACACAGATTCCACCTGCACTCCGTAGTCGTTTAAGGCACAACCAACAGGCACCCGTAGTTGAAGGCCCAAATCAGCCTTTCTCCACCTTGGAAAGTGTACCTCTAAACTCCACTGACTCTTGGCCCCAGTGTGCGACCCTGTATCACTCAGCTAGCTTCACTTTACCCTCTCTGTACATCCATAAAGCGGAAGGGAGTGAGCCAGTCAGACCTTGTACAGTTGAGAGAAGCTTTAGCTTCCCGTTAGCAAGAGGGTTTCACCAAGCTGCTTGAAACATGTGGTATTGTGAGCCGAGGTAGAGGAGAGCTGATGACCCCAACGATCGTCCCGTCGTCAGCTGGGCACCCAGACGGCTAGATTCCCTCAAGAGATCCTTTGATACCCCGCTAAACAGTGGCAGGCCTACACTGATCGGTCCAATGGCGACAATCGCCACCCTCAATCATCAACGGTAGTCTCAAACGGCAGTCAATCTCTCGCAGTCCAGTGGGTTCTGGCGGAAACCCTGAAATGAACTCACTGTTAGCTCTAGTTTACTTTATCGCTGCCCTATCTAAACCCTGTCTGAGATTGAATGAGACTTACTTGTTATACTGCAATAGCGCAGCACAGGTGACTAGACGACGTGACTATTTCTTGGACGGACGCGCAGGGATGTCCTGTAGGTCCAATCGCTTTCACATGACTGAGGACCAGCCAGCGTCGCGTCTCTCCAAGGCGCTAGCTTAGGCCTACGTGACATATTTTCCACCTAACTAATAACTCCTTGGGACACCCGTGACATTATTCAGACTGATAAACGATCTATAATAATTTCAAATTCAATAATAGTCCCTTAACTTCATGAATCGCATCATTATTAATTCGGCAAATTACATTTAATATCACTTAGGCCTAGTTCCACAACCTCTCGCTATGTGCAGGGAGCGCTCTCTTCCCTCAGACGACCTTGAAAGCTCAGTATCGCCAATGGCGCGGTGTTTGAAATTACACTGAAATTTCTGAATATTACATATATATATATATATATATATATATATATATATATATTCAGAGAGAAATCAAAATCATAAATCATGACTGTGTAGCGGAGTTGTTAATATATAAATCTGAAAGAGTTTTAGTATGTATGTTGTACTGTGCATACTCTATGAGCATTAAGAACACACACTATCATATGGTGATCTTCAACAAGATTTGATTTATCATGGGGGCTTGCCTAAGTCGTTCTTATCTAAACCCTGATCAATCGAGTCTTTATCTCTCTTATCAAACATACATAGTAAAACTCTTTCAGATTTATATACTAACAACTCTGCTACACAGACATGATTTATGATTTTGCTTTCTCTCTGAATATATATATATCTAATCTTATCCACGTTTTCATTGTGGATTTACATGAAATATATACATATTTATATATATATATATATTTATATATATATATATATATATATATATATATATATATATATATATATATATATATATATATATATATATATATATATATATATATATATATATATATATATATATATATATATATATATATATATATAAACAAGATAAATACCTGAATATGTACAGTACGTGTTAGCAGGGGAAGGAGGATAATGTACGTGTTAACAAGGGAAGGAGGATAATGTAACGTGTTAACAGGAGAAGGAGGATAATATACAGTACGTGTTAACGGGGAAAGGAGGACAATGTAACGTGTTAACAGGGGAAGGGGGATATTGTAACGTGTTAACAGGGGAAGGAGGATAATGTACTTGTTAACCCGGGGAAGGAGGATAATGTACGTGTTAACAGGGGGAAGGAGGATAATGTACGTGTTAACAGGGGGAAGGAGGATAATGTAACGTGTTAACAGGGGGAAGGAGGATAATATACAGTACGTGTTAAAAGGAGGAAGGAGGATAATGTACGTGTTAACAGGGGGAAGGAGGATAATGCAACGTGTTAACAAAGGAAGAAGGATAATGTACGTGTTAACAGGGGAAGGAGGATAATGTACGTGTTAACAGGGGAAGGAGGATAATATACAGTACGTGTTAACAGGGGAAGGAGGATAATGTAACGTGTTAACAGGGGAAGGAGGATAATGTGCGTGTTAACAGGGGAAGGAGGATAATATACAGTACGTGTTAACAGGGGGAAGGAGGATAATGTGAGGAAGAGTGAAGAGTAGAATCATCAGCATAAGACTGGATAGAATTAGTTGTAGTGTGAAGTAAATCATTGATAAAAAGAAGGAAGAGAGTTGGTGAAAGAACAGAACCCTGTGGGACGCCACTACTGGTAGAGAAAGAGCGAGAAATCGATCCCTCGACAACAACTGCCATGGATCGGTTCTTAAGGAAGCTAGAGATGAGAAAACAAAGTGGGGGAGAGAAACCAAAAGAGGGAAGTTTAGATAGCCAAGACTTGTGCCATACCCTGTCAAATGCTTTGGAAATGTCGAGAGCCACGACAAAAGTTTCCCCATAATCCATAAAAGAGGATGACCAAAGATGGCGAAAGCCATACTGGTGATATGACAAAAGAGAAAGGCGTTCAAGGTGACGGAGAAAATGGGAGTTCAAGATAGTTTCGAAAATCTCAGAGAGGGTTGAAGTTAGGGCAATGGGGCGATAGTTGGAGGGATTAGAATGGTCACCCTTCTTCGGGATGGGCTGAACCAAGGCATGCTTCCAAGAAGAAGGAAAAGTTTGGGTTTTGAGGCAAAGGCGGAAGAGGCGAGCAAGCACAGGGGCCAGGGCTTCAGCATACTCCCTCAGAACACGAGGGGGTATTCCGTCCGGTCCACGCGCCTTACTTACATCCAACCTGGTTAACACACCGGCAACCCTGCGAGTGGAGATTATAGGAAAGTGCATAGATTCAGTAGGAGGTGCAGGGGTAGGAGGGAAAGAGTGGGAATCGTCTAAGGCGGAATTAGAGGAGAATGAGGTGCCAAAGAGGGTGGCTTTGTCAGGGGTAGAGTTGGCTAGAGAGTTATTGGGAATGAAGAGGGGAGGAAAAGAAGGCGTGCAGAAGTTGTTACAGATGTTTTTAGTTTAGGACCAGAAGGATTTACTAGAGGAAGAATTAGTCAGGACAGCGGTCTTTCTTTCAATAAAATTCAGCTTAGCCTTACAACGATTCCTAGAAGTAATGAAAGACGTGTTAGTAATAGGAGGAGATAGTTTCATAGCTCGATATGCCCTATCTCTCACCCTGCAAGCAAGAGAGCAGGAGCGATCAAACCATGATTGTAATGTGAAAGTTTTGGTAGAAGATGGGATAAATGCACTCATACCGCCCTGTATAACCCCAGCAATGCTGTCAGCACATACTGAGGCATCCCGAGTGGAAAAGCAACATTCATCCCAAGGAAAGTCGGTGAAGAATTCTCGCAAGGATTGCCAGCTTGCCCTCCGATAGTGCCATAGTTGACGTTTAGAGGGGGGTGGGGGAGGTGGTCGTGCCCAGTTTGATTTAATAGAAATAAGGTTGTGATCAGAAGACCCTAAGGGGCAAAAATTGAGTATGAATAGTGTGAGGGGTTAGAGGTAAAACAAAGATCAAGAATGTTAGCAAGTTGATCGTGTCGATCAGGAACGCGTGTAGGGTGTTTGATTATTTGTTCCAAATCATTAAGTAAGGAAAAAGAGAGTGCCTCAGCTCCACCTGGGTCATCCCTTGCAGAGCCAAGCCACTCTCTGTGATGTACATTGAAATCCCTTAGGTAGAGGATCTCGGTGTTGGGGTGTGTGGATAGCAACGACTCATGGCAAGAAGTGAGATAGTCAAAGAGTTCGAAATAGTTGGTAGAGTTGGGAGAACAGTATAGGAAACAAAGAAAAATAGTCACAGTAGGTAGAGATATTTTGAGCCAGATGACATCATGAAGGGGAGATTCAAGATCCGTGAGTCGGGCTATAGGTGTACGTGAGTTGCAGTAGGCGCATACACCTCCCTTAGAACGGAAGTAGGTATAAAGGTTGTAGTTAGAGACTTGAAAAGGTTTGGGTGAAGCTGTTTGGTCAGTTGAAGTTCGGAGAGTAGTAAGAGGTTGGGAGAAGAGGTTGATAGATGGTGCTCTACAGAAGAAAAATTGGATCTCAGTCCGCGAATGTTGGAAAAATGAAGTGTGAAAAAAGCCGATCCTCCAGCAACCGCGGTGCAGTAGCTTGATGATGATCAGGTCGGCCCTGGGGTCCACAATCTTCCCGAGCAGTGGGACCCATCCAAGAAGGCCCCGCTTCAGTATTAATATCAACTGACATAGGAGAATGAAATAGAATGAATAAAACAGATCAAGAATGAGTACGGTTTTATTTGTGGTGTTGTCAATAGTAAGAGAGACAGTTGAGACCCTGCAATTGTGTGTAAATGAGGCAGAAAGAGAGATCAGCAACCTGGAACTTGGTCTCAATGTTATTTAATGTGTTAATGAATAAGATAGCCTCACACAAATATCCTAAAGGAGTTGTAACCATCATTTATGCAGATGAGGTCTTATTTCAAGGAAACTCTGTAAAAAAATTTGCAGATTGCATTAAATAATTTTCGTGTTCTTTCTCAAAAGATGGGCTTAGTTATCAATGAAGAAAAAACCAAGTGTGAATGTAAAGGAAGAGGAACTGAATCCGTTTTCTAAATGGAAAAATTGTTGAGAAAGTGTCAAAGTATAAATATTTAGGAATGTAAATTGGCTTTACTAGTGAAAGTAAAGAGGCAGAAATATATCATGTCCTCACTCAATGTAGAGCAAGATTACAGCCCTTGAAGGCTCTAGCATGTTGTGGTAAAGGTGCTGGGGTACCCATACTGAGAATGATGTATATTTCTACCATCAGATCACTTATAGACTATGTCCTCTCTTGTACTGGTGAAGGAAGGCTACGGAAGCTTGAGATCATGCAAAATGAAGCAATGAGAATAATTTTAGGGTATCAAAAGAATGCAATGATTGAGATAATGAAAATGGAACTAGGGTTACAGAGCATTTCACAGAGGGTCAATGAAATTAATACAGTTGCAGCAGTTCGATTAATGAGAGGGAACAGTGGGGGTAAATTTGTACAAGATATAAATGATGGTTTAAAAGATAAAAGGACCTTCTGCAGGCAAGGCAAGAGAGGATATATGAATGGATTAGTAAATATTATTAAAAAATGTAATCTGGCAGACTGGTGTGCAGCTGTTCAGAAGAGTTGTAAGAATCCACACCTGGGAAGAACGAGAAGTAGAGTTAGACATAGTGCCTCTCACAATGAAGAAATCATTACATGAACTAGGACAGTTAAGGGCTTTATATGGGAATAAGATTAGTAATTTGCCTAAAATAAACACATTGCATGTATATTGTGACGGTTCAGTTATGTCAAGTGGCAGGGCAGGGTGCGGGATCCTTATAAGACAGTACACAGAACAAGGAAATGATGACATCAAAATTGGACTTCGGTTGAGCAGTTTTATATCATCAACACAAGCTGAGTTATATGCAATGTT